AATGGTAAGAATGAGTTTGCTCTTCGTTTACAGGCGAGGTTCTGCAGGGGCGCGCACCATCTGGGTTCACCACAGGAGTGATGTACCAGTCAAACTTATCAACCACGGCCTTGATGGCAGAGTCTGTTGCGTACTTTGTCAAAAGTTGCCAAGCCACATACTCTGTAGTCTGATATGATGTGTTGATTAGAATTACTCAGATTGCAGTGAATACTTGTGGATGTTGTGGTTATTACTCACCATCGTGCTAATCCACTCGCGAGCGTGAACGGTGCCGTGGAGAACAACAGCCGGCTTGGACCCTTTGCCGCCGCTTCCCCAGATATGAATGCCGGTGAGCGCTCGGCCTTGGAAAGATGAGCCCGCGGTAGTGATTTCAGATTGGCCAGGAAAGCTGCTCTGGAGGTCTCTCAAGAAAGTCAAGTGGTCGGCATAGCTGTGATAAGAAGTGAACCAGGTTTCGCTGGGGACTGATGGATCGATGAGTATGAGGTGAGATCAGTTCGTGGTAATGATCCATAGACTCACCAGCATAAACCGTTGCCATATCTTCATCCGCAAAAGCAGCACCGACGTCCTCAAGGAGAATCGTGGTGTTCACAGCCAGCTGGCTGATGGCGTCGACATTGTCGGGAGATACGACGACATCGAGCTGTTCCTTGGCGCCGGGGTTCAATATAGTCGCAGCTAACTCGTTAATGTGGTCGGCCAAGTTCTCGGAGCCCTCGGGGAGAGTGATGCGAAGACCCTTGAAGCCAGTATAGTCGACCTTCGCAGATCTGGGAACAGTCGCGCCCAGAGCCGCAGGAACCAGGGCAAGAGCTGAGATGAGCGACGCCTTCATGGTGAAATAATGTGCAAATAGTGATGAGGCAATGAGAGGCTTGACGTCGACGAATCGAATCTTGGCGAAGCATGCGAAGCTGAGAGCCTCAGTTATAAGTTCGAGAAGCAAGAACCATGAGCGGCTCGTGAAGGTCGCTTAAACACCTGCAGCTTCCCCTCTTCTAGCAGACTGGAATATGCCTCGCAAAACAATGGCATGGCAACATCAAAAGGGGAGGTGATAGTCTGACTGGGGAAGGACGTATTGAACTGGTGTGACATCGACAGCTGCCAAGGCGGAAGATCTCAAGGCTTGGCACAGCGCCTTCCCGGATGAAGAAGTTGCAAAGCGTCTTGGTATGGGAAACCACGCGCGATTAGGGAGGCACGGTTAAGTATCGTAGTTGCAATTGCCGCCGAGATGAGTTGGACGGGAGTTAACATGAGCAAGAAGGTGGCACCATGGTATGTGAGTAAGTAAATAGTGACATGCAAGAGACTGCGGGTGCCAACCAATACTCTTTCTTCGAGACAAGCTGACAACGAACATGTTACAAGTACCTTCCAATTTATCTCGCTTTACCACAAGATTCCAGGCCGGTGGTAGAAAGGTAATTTCGTGGACTTCACATGAGTAGACCATAAAGAGGCTTGATGGAAGTAAGCAGACTGCTTGCACGTGTAGTTCGTGAAATGAATTGAATTTGTTGTCGCAACGTTATGGAGTATACGTATTATAAGAAAAGAAATAGATCTAATTACTCGACATCATTCTCAGAGGTATTTAAAACGTCGAGCAACAAGAAGAGACAGCAGAGCGAAAGCAGTTATGCTGCCCAGGATTCCAAAGAACGCGTTAAGGTTGTCAGTATCCTTCCAAGGGACCTTGACGTTCATGCCGAAAAGACCACACACAACATTGAGAGGAACAATAACAGTGGCGATGACCGTCACCCGACTCAAGAAGTCGTTCGTCCGGTTACCCATATCGATGTTGTCAATCGAGAGCTGCGCCAGGTAGTTGCTGTGCGATCGTGAGAGCATGGTGTCGAAGTGGACAAGGCTGTGCATCATCGTCACCGCGTGATCTTGGATATCGCCAAGGTAAAGGGCAATGTCCATGTGCGGCGTGACATCGAAATCTTCAGTGCATCTCTTAGTGAAAGCACGAAGCACGTCTGCCTTCCCGCCGAGCAGGCGCATGAGACTCATCACGTTCTTTCTGGTGTATCCGATCTTCCGAAGAAAGGCTTGGTTATCATCTACACGAGTGATGAACACCTGGTCTTCGATCGCATCGGCCTCGCGTTCGATCTCGTTGATCGCTGGTCCAAAAGAGTCCACAATGTCATCGCTATGCTGGTGTCAGATGAGGTTCATTACGAGAAGCAATCTCCTTAAGGGACATCTGAGGCGGCTTTGACTTACATCAACGCGTAGCAGATCCAGTCGCTGCTGAGAGAAACTTGCTCCTTCAATTGCGAAATCCGGAATCGAACCCTCGATGCGTGCGAGTTTGCAGTGAAGCTGAAGCTGAGTATCCCCTCTCTGAAGACTACCGCATAAACGTTGAACGGATGATAGTCTTTTTCATTATCTTCCTCGACGACGATGAACGACCTGAAGCAGGCGAAGTAGTACAGCGGAAAGAGTTCGATCTTTTCGCGACTCTCTTGGTGGATGATATCCTCAATGGTAAGTGGGTGGATCCCAAAGGCTTTGCAAATCGTCCAGACCTCGCTGCCAGTCGGGTTGTTCATGTTAAGCCACCAGACACCATCGGCCTCTGCCTCGGGCATCTCGAACAAGGACCTGATGCTCTCGCCTGGGAGGACGAGGTCGCCGAATTCCGCCGCATGAATGGTTGACTCCAAGGCCGAGGAGAAGTAGTTGAAGCGACTTTGTTCAATGTGCTGGCTGGCCCTCGGGAGCGGCTGCTGGGGTGCTGTCGCCTCCTTCTCTCCCGCGATGGAAGCTGCTTGGGATGCAACATCGATGAAGTCTCCATCGGAGGTAAACATGCGCGTAGCGGTAGGGATGGAACTATCCGGAAGATTGACAAAGTCGGAACTGCCAAACTGGTCGCGACTCTCAGCGTCAATCAATGTCTCCAAATAGTCAAAGTCGATGTGGAGCCCATCTTTTTGGACGTTGTCGAGCTTGGTGTCCTCGGCCTCGGGAGATGACTTGGGCTTCGGCACGGGCGAAGAGGTTTCGTGAGCACCGCGATCAAGAGCTTTGCGGCTGTGGAAGCTACGACTGATGCTATTGGGATAGTTTTGAGATACCCGGAGGCCATAGTCATTGCTAGTCTCAACCTCGGCCTGAGGTCTGCGCGAAGAGGCCCTCGGATCGTGCGCTTCGACATCCTGTCCTCTGCGGCGCGCATTGGCAAATGCCTTGACGGAGTTGGGCGGCGACGTCGTGCGCCTCGACTCGATGGTGGGACGTCTGCTCAGAGGCCGCATAGTTGGGGATTCGAACATGGCCATGTTGGCTACGTAACGGGTCGTCCCTCGTTCGGGTTCTCTTCCTCGAGGACTCGAGATGCTTTCCACATCCCGACAGCCTCCGTTGGGACTCAACAGGGTCGCATCTTCGAGTCCCCGGATGGACTTGTCGTCTTCCTTCTGCGACATGACGTTATGTTCTCTCTTCTTTGATGTGATTGAAGGCCGAAGAGGTACTAGTGCCAAGTCGAGGGTCTAGATCTTGTCCAAGGTGTTCCTTTACCGCACGTTCGAGTGGTGTGCTCGCAGGTATCGCTCCTTCGTACGCTTTGCCATATCCTGGCAGATGTTTGAATCAGAGTAATGAGGTGACCGAACTGACTTGTGGTCGTGAGATCTGGCGAAAGCGGTGACCATTCCAATAGATTGAGGAACGATTCCGTGATGAGTGCTGTGCTGTGACGATGTTGGTCGCTCTTGGGGGTCGGAGAATGGAAAAGCCACCAAAGATACCGATTCAATGACGATTCGTGTTTGAGAATGGGATGAGGACAAGGACGGGTAATATGAAGGTTTTTGAGACTACTCGGCTACTCTAAGTAGAGAAACTAAGGGAATGCCCGTCGCCCAACCGAGGAGACAGGTTCTAGAGCGACATCATGGGCACCGCCTCACGCAGGCGGAGTCATAACAAAACTTTCCCCATGGGGCGGCCTCTTTTTCCTCTGCGGTATTAATGTCCAGCTTTCACTGCCGGACGAACTACCTTATCTATCTGAAGACCCCGAAAGCTGATATCATGCATTCTCAAAAGCCGCAAGTCTCGAGAGAATCTTGTATCCTTCGCGATAAATATAAACAGCAATTAATCTGTTGCCGTCATAGCCGCTCTCGCATGCGACGTAGAACTCGTCCAAAGTTTTTGACGCAGGCCTTCGCGCCACACAGCCCCAAACCTCCCAAGCTCGATTGGGAACAGACATCAAATGCCTCATACTGGATTGGGCCACGAGCGGGCGCTTCGGCCCCCGGGAGCGTTGAGTAGAAATTGTCGCATGGAACATTCTCTATTCTTTTGCAGGAGCAACGGCCGCGCTACCAATGCACCCCGTGATCAGGTGCTGATGCACATCAGTGAGCTGTCGCGCAAGCGCGTCTGGGCACCATATTCCGCACGTCGCGCTCGCGGGGATCTGAATGAGCGGTCTGTTATTAGGACAAGGGATCTAGAACTTAGATGCGACTAACACACCCAGACTGGTGGGTGGGAACACGCGACCGATTCTGCAGTAAGACGACGATTGGTGTCTAGCTGGAGGCCGGACTGATAGCTGCCGGGAGACTACGACTCATCGCCCCTCATAATAAGGCTTGCTAAGTTTATTCCTCGGCACCTCTGAGTCTGAAGCAGTGAACCACACGGACGGTGACATCTTTTCTGTATCGACTCCGAATAAGGTGTTGCCGAGCTTGGTCTTGTTGAGACACGTGCTGCTTGACAGGGACTCGAACTCTCACGCATCATCACGCTACTGAATAGGCTCAAGTACTGGGCTGTCTTCAGTGGTCAATGCTGGACACCCGACGCGAAGCGCTGCATACCGTCATTCAGGGGAGGCGACGAAGGTGAGGAATTTGAACAGACAACAGACACAGATGTTAATGTAGATAGCCAACTTGTTTAGGGTATTGAATTTGTTCTACTGAGTGACAGACTATGGCTACCTAATGACAGCAAAATGCAGCATACATTGCAAACTCCTCGTCTGCGAGCAGCTGCTCCATCTCGTCAGCGAATAAGCTAATAAGCAGCTCGATACCTCCGTGACTCTTCATCGGCAACACCATGCAAAGCCTAAAATTCGCATTGAAGGCATCCATCAAGGGTCGCAGCGACTCCGGCTTGCCATCATTGCTGAACACGTAGTCGCCAAAGTTGATCTTATCCAACGGCAGCAGCAACACTGACGTGATCATGACATCGAATCCATCGAGTCGGGTGAATGCAAGCTTCAGCTTCGTGTAGTCCGGAACTTCGCGCATGAGGGTGAACGCGTCCTTCACAAGCCCTGGATTCACCTTGGCCGCCTGTGCCCGAATTTGCAGAGCGACATCGCGCAAGCTCGTAGACGGCGACGCGAGCTCGGCCACCCGCATCGGAACTTTGTTGACAATAACGAGATTCCCAGCATACGACGACGGAAGCTCTGGGTCGAAATCCGTGCGGCCGTCGACGGGAGATTCCAAGTATGACACTTCGTCCGCCGGCGCTGGCTGGCCGGATGCGATGGCCGCTTTGTATCGCGCTTTCATGAGACCGCGCCAGAAAAGCGCCAAGAGTGCGTCATTGGCCGACAGTCCCGTCCCGTCATGAGAGTCATCTAAAACATCCTTCTTCAATTTCTTGAAATTGTCCGGAGAGATGTAGAAAATGCTAGACTCCATGGTCCGGAGCGGGGCCGCAGGTGGGGCCGCAGCAGTAGCCGTTTCCTCCTCCGCATCTGGCGGCTGAAAGCCGAGAAAGCCCCAAGTATCGCACGGGATCTTGGCAACAGCCTTGGCAGGCGTCTTACTCCACAGCCGCTCCAGAAGGGTGCGATTGAAGCTCTCCGGAGCCAGCCAGCTGCACACGTTGGTATCCGGATGCGCGAGGTTTCTGCAGTGTTCCGACCACGCACGCATCGCCATAACCATACCGGTCGCGTCGCTAGCGGAATGGTGGAATCCCGTCGCAAGAATGCATCCCCCATTGACGAAGTTCGCTTGCGCCAAGAAGACGTCGGCACCGCCCGTCAAGTCTGGCACGAATGGGGCAGCTAGAACGAGCTCATCATCGAAAGCAGAGAACTCAAATCCTGCCATATGGGGAACACTGGCTCTCTACCTTGGCCTCTTCGTAGGCAGAATGATCCTGTCCAGCTTCAGCGAAGTTCCAATGACGACTTACATTACTTCTAGGGCGTAGCAAGTCCAATCATCTTGGCTCTTTACAACTACTATCTTCATCCCATTGCACATGTGAAAGGACCATTCATCGCGTCAATATCTCCGGTATGCACGCAAAGTTGTATCTCGCTACCTTCCACTGCCTCATGTTAACGACGGTTTTAGATCTGGCTGATTCGGTCCGTATCAGGACATCGACTCAATAACGACATCAAAAAGGTGCACGCCGAATACGGTAATTCAGCAGGCTTATGCATAGCTTCCTGAGCTCTGCTAATCGTTGTGCCCCCAGGACCTGTCGTTCGTATCGGCCCCAACGAACTTTCGTTTGCCACAGAAGATGCGCTCAAGACTATTCACAACCCTGGCCCCGACGGTGGTCACTTTACGAAGCAGGGGACTATTGAATCTCTGCTGGCCAAACTCATTTGGGCAGCTCCAAATCTTTTGACCACCACCGATCGAACTGCACACAAAAGACTGCGTACCGCATTACAGCCAGCCTTCACAGCCAAGGCGTTGATGGAGCAGGAAGATATCGTTCAGCACCACGTGAATCGGGCCGTCGAGTCTCTAGGTTCAAAACTTCATGAGGGCAAGATTGTGAGTATCAGTGATCATGTTGGAAAGATGATTTGGAGCATCGTGGGAGACTTGTCTTTCGGAGAGCCGCTCCTCCATGATCAAATGAGTAAGTACTAAGTAGGGCCGACATGCACGCCCTTTGCTGTCATCAAGCTGATCATCTTGGTAGGCACGTACGAAAAAATGAAATACACTTATTGGAAAGGAGCGCCACTCCTAGAACTCTTTCAATTTCTGACAGAAACGCCCATCTTCGGTGGGCTCGCAAAGCTACCGGTCATGAGAGTTCCACACATTTTCCGCGTCCCCAAAAATTTCCTTCTGATGAATCAACTCAGAGGGTGAGCTAGTCGAAGTCCATTTTACGACATGAACTTAAACTCACACAATTATAGCTGCATCGAGCGCCAAGGAGGGCGCAAAGACTTTTTGACCGCCATCTTATCCGCCAAAGAATCTGCCGGATTGACTCAGCCGGAGATGTTGAGTAATTCGGCCTTATTCGCGTAAGTTTCCCCTCATTTCCTGTCGTCTCATCACCCTGTCGTTCCCGATTCTAACTGGAAACAGCATGGTTGGTTACGATACTTCCGCTACAACTCTATCAGCAGTCTTTTACCACGTGTTGCGGGACCCAGACCACTACCAGCGGGTTCAGGGAGAAGTCCGAGAAGCATATTTCTCAATCTCTGACTGTTGGTATCCCTATTACAGGGTAATTGGTTCGAACCGTTGGTTGACGAAGAGATCAAGTGATCTATATGAATTTCTGCGTAGGTGTAAAAAGGAGGTTCCAACCGTAGGTTGGGCATGCTACGATAATCGTAAATAGGGCCCCTAATTGGCCCCTGCGCAGTCGACCGTATGCCGCGGTCGAATTGGACTTCCAATCCGACACTGACATCACGGCTCAGAGTGTTCTCCGACTCCCATTTTTGAATGCCTGCATCCAAGAAACGCTCCGTCTCACGCCACCGATCAACGGTCGTGGCTCTCATCGCATCTCACCTGGAGCTATGATTGATGGACTGTACGTTCCCAAAGGTGTCAATGTCTCTGCTGATATTTGGACTATTCAGCGTAAGCCCGAGTATTGGGCTCTCGCTGACAAGTTTAGGCCTGATCGTTGGCTTGACAATGGTACGGGCACCATCTTTGAGCACGATGTTCGGACCAGCTACCGGCCGTTCCTCGTTGGACCCCGGGTGTGCATTGGTCGCGAGATGACTTTGCAGTCCATCCGTCTGACAGTAGCCAAAGTAGCATTTTCGTTTGATCTAGAAATGGCTAACAAGGATACTTTCATGTGGGAGAGGGATGAAGGGAATGATTATGTCTGGCATGACTATCATGTCTTGGTGAGGAAAATGGCACACTAAGAGTTCCACAAAAAGCTTGGTGGCATTAAGATGTCGTCAAATTTAACCTATAGAGAGAAGTCCTTCAGTCCCTTGATAGTTCCATCAATACCAAGTTCCTCCTTCTCATCCGGACCCAGTAAGCCCAACGCCTCACGTCGGCTTAGTGCTGCAGAGTCGAAATACGGCTTTTCGGCAAGAGATGTTACACGAGTTCCATGACGAGGGTGATTGCCCTCATAGTCCCAGCTGGCGTTGTGGATAGTGATTCTAGAGAATATTACTTAGCCATCGTCTTGCGCCATCATCCGGCCTTGAGAATGTACGCACCTGTTATCCCAAAGGGCACTGGTGTTGGGAGTCCACTTGAAGCGGACTTGAATATCGACATTCTTCTCATACACATCAAAGAGGTAGTTCAAGATGACATCACTCTCCGCTTTGTCGAGACCGATAATATGAGTGGTAAAGAGACGGTTCACGTAAAGAGACTTCCATCCCGTCGCAGGATGGACGCGGACAAGAGGGTGCGCTCGCTCAATGTGCTTCGGTCCAGCCTCGGGGTCGTTGCGGTCCAGGTACGTGTGAGCGGAGCGATAGACGGCATATTTGCCATCGATGATCTTGCGGAAGTCAGGCGAGAGCTTCTCGTAGGCCGAGTATCCGCTGGCCCAAAGGGTGTCACCGCCAATGGGCGGGACGGCATCATTGTGCAGGTGAGTGATACCGGATGGCTGACGTTCGTGGACTAGATCCGTGTGCCATTTCGAAGCTCCGCCGGGGTTACGGAAGTTTGCTTTTCTCTCGGTGGCCATCAACGCTGGCCAGATTACTGTGACACCCAAGACGCCAGGGACTTGTGGAACTTGGGGCTATCGAGACACTTAGCTCAATCACATGCCCCCCCCCCCCCCCTGCAAATAGAGCCGGACTAAAGTTATCATGACTTACATGAACTTCAACTTCACCATACCAGTCTCCCAACTCTTTCTGCTGTTGAGGCGACAGATCCTGGTCCCTGAAGAACACAACACTGCGCTCAGCAATGAGCAGCGCAAGCTCATCCTTTTGCTCAGGTGTAAGGTCCTTCAGCTGCAGGCCCTCAATCTCCGTACCAATGTGAGCCGTCAAGTTAGTGACTTTCGTCGCCGCACTGAGCAGGTTCTTCTTAGACTTGTCGGCCCTTGAGCCGGCGTCGACGTACTCCCTCTCCTTGTTGCGGATGTTGTATGCATCGTCCAGATACAGAGGCCGCGAAGGGCGGTACGGGTACCCATTTGACAAGTCGACTCCAGCCTTGATTAGTCTTGCCTTTGTGGTTTCGGGGAGCCCGAGGGTGTCCTTCCGCGGCTCCGCCACGTCGGTGATTGATGGGTCGATGGGGGCGGGAACCATGGTGATCTTGTTGAGAGATGCGGAGAGAGTTTAGCTCAGAAAATGGATATGATGTCAAGTCTTTGCAAATGATAGAAGAATTAGCAACTGCTTCTAAGACGAGCTGAAACGCATAGGCCCAGGCTGCCTTTTAAGTCTTGTAAATCAGGGCTTCTATTGCGAGGCGTTTCCCCAGGTCCAAATCCACGGGACCTCCTCATCTGATCACGTTAACCATCAATGCCATGATTACCAATAATCGCGGGGTCGATGGTGCTTTAAGCAGAGGTTATCTATGGCTTCATCTGCATCAAATGTGACGAATCCAGAACCAGATGCGTAACATCGAACCACCGCGCCACGGAACTCGGGGAGCAAATTCTCCAACCAAAATCCGGCGTCAGCACGCGATCAACATCCAAACTCTCCAGAAGCTCGACGGTAGGAATCTAGCCAAAGATGATGGAGGGTTTAATCAGCCGGTTGTTGGCTCGACGATTCGCCCTACCCTCCCCCGCGGAAGCGGATCCGGGGCGCATCGGCGGCGGCGGCGCACTCGAGTGGGGGTTACGCGATACAAGGGCCCGATTGTGTGCTCGTCAACCAACATCAGCCCAATCCCCTTTAAGAGATCATCACCCGAAGAAATCGAGTTTGAAGGGCTGGACTCGTGCGGGGGAAACTAATTGCTAGAGTGCGAGTGTAAGCTTCCGATTTCCTAACTCCGTATGCCCCTCAATCCGAAGTCCGACCCAATTCTTGGCTGAAGTACTTACTTTACCTGCCCAGCAAGAAGCTTCGTGCGAAGCTTTTGATCGACGGGATACCAAGAGTGTCTATAAGCGATTTCAGTTAGATAAATCTGTGCGCTAGCGAACAAGCTCGACACTCATAGTACCTGATCCCTAGGGTCATAGGGAAACCTATCTAAAGTGATTTGGCAACAATTGGTTCCGGATCGTCCCGGATAATCGACCATCACGCAGCCTTTATCAATCTTCAGAGAATCATCTGCATGTCAATGACAGGATGTCTATCGGATGTTGTCCGCACCAAGGATGACAGACGCGCGCTTGTGCGGCGTTGTGCCTACAGTGCCTTCAGCTGTGTCCAGCACGCCATCGTATCCAGAAACCTCGTCAGCGATATGCCCAGTTCTTCCCTAGTTGGCCATGCGAGTCTGCTCCGGTGTTGGCCCGAAAAACCCTGAAAACCTTGAAAACGCGATGGAAGAAAATTCCGCATATTCTGCTATATAAAGTCTAGCGTTTGCATCGAATGTCGTTGTTATTCTTGATTATGTCGATGCAGGCGCGCAGCTGATCACTTACTCATTGTCTTTCTGGTTCTGAGACCAACAAGCTGCAAGTATGGGAGTTCCAGAGATCGAAAAGACTACGGTCGCCGACTCACCTCGGAGCAAGTCGCCATCTTCCGTCGCCGCGCGAGAGGTCCAGCCAACTGTTGTTGAACTCGTGCAAGAAGAACCGAAGCTCACATGGCGGTCATATGTCTGGGATACATTAGACAAGTCACCTGAAGAACGCAAGTTCATGTTCAAACTGGATGCTGTAATTCTCACATTTGCAAGTCTGGGAT